TTCTCCATCATCAACATTATTTTCATTACTTTTACCTCGAATATTCCTTTCAACATCAACATTCATAGATTTCCGTTTAAAGTATTTGTCCATAACTGATACAAATAAATAAATCAATCATGTTAAATATGAAATCAATCACAATTCCCTATCAACAGACAACAGCTTCACAGTCCACATAAATCCCTATTAACAGCTTCACAATCACAATTGCCTACTCAATTTCATCAAAATCCCTAAATCCCTAAAAGCCCTAATTAGAAATCACTATCAATTTTCAAAATTTCTAAATCACAGATTCACAGACACACATTCACACACAAAACTATCCTTAAATAATTTAAATCCATAATCATTACTTTCGTTACAAAGAGAAAAATAGGAACTTACCTCACAGAGGGTTGGTCGGTTGGAGCTTGGAAACGGAAACGGGAGTTGGTCCGTTGGAGACTTGGAGCTTCGAACAGCAGACAGTAGGGCTGCAGGGACAAAAACACCAGATTTAATTTCAGATTTGGAAGGGAGAAGAAGAATCGGGGCTGGGCTGCTGGAGGAAGCGAGACAGCGACATTGCAGGTGGAGGAAGACAAGACAATGTGCTACAGGCTGCTAGAGGGAGAAGAGGCGGGGCTGGGGGATGAGAATGGAGAGGAGTCGAGCCTGTCGAAGAGAGTTGGGAGCTGCAGCTACTGGATGGTGAGAATGAAGAGGGGCTGGTAGCTGCTGGAGAAGAGGCGGGGATGCTGGAGTCTGGAGATTGAAGGGTAGGTTTAGTTTTTTTTTTCTTTTTATATTTAATTTATAAGAAAAAATACCCAAAATCTATAGGGGCATGTGCCCTTGTAGGCCCCTGTGTGGGTCCACCCATGAGCATACATCAATAGGAGTGGTAGTGTGAGATAAAAGATTACAATAAAAATCTTGTAAGTATGAGAGATGCCTGTTATGTCTAAGAGATCTTCTAATAGTTGGGTTAGCATGAATAATTGATGTGGCTGGAGGATCTGGAGAAGGTGAAGTGGGAGGAAGATTTTGAGGAGGTGAAGTGGCAGGAGGATCTAAGGCTGTAGAACAATTAGGGGACACATCAATGACAGGAGGAACATAAGGATGTGTATCTGGAACATGATTGGGAAGAACAAGATGGGAAAATTGATCAATAAAATCAGGAGT